ATAGTTTTAGTTGATTGTTGCCCATCTATTAAGCTGGTTTATTCATCAATAACTACACAAGACCGAAAGGTGCCACAATCAACTAGCATTGGCAGACATACTCAGCACATAGCCACAGACTTAAAAGTACTAATGTTCATAGTTGAGGTGAAATAATTTTGTAGTGAACATTGATTAGATTATCAATGACCTATTTGTACCTTAATGTATTTCCTTAGGAGCGAAGGAAAAGCAGCCAATAACAATGAAGAATATTTAAGCCGGTGTAAAGTAAATGATATCATTTGCGAGTCAGTCATTTGATTCAAAATGTGGAGAGCATTTCCAAGGTAGGACTTCACTATATGGCCATAAGTCCTCCATTGTTTTGTGGCCATCAAATCTGTTATGGTCTGTTTTCTTCCCCCGGAAGAAGGAATCTTCAACAACTTTCTTAGTATTCCATCCATTTCATTAAGTACAGTCAACATTATTTTGTTGAACACGGCGCTAGACATTACACTAAGCTTTGTCATTGAATCATTCTCCTCATCATCACCATAGTGGCATGCTGTCCTAAAAGCCTTCATCAAGGAACGGAGTGCGTTTAAGCTCCCATTTTCTTTAATTGATTTACACCACAAATCAACCATAGCAGTGGTTATAACTTTCTTAGAAGATTTTTTATCCTTTTCTTGAACCTCATGCTCAGGAGCTTCTTCATCTACATGTAGATCTCCATCTTCCATATCAGCATCCAAATCTTCCTGGACAAAAGAAGCAAAACAGTTATACAGTTTCTAATGATAAAGAGATTGCCATATTAATAGAAAATTTGTAATGTACGCATAGGTAACAAAAACATAGACTGAAACCAATATTTTAAGAATTAGAGAATCCCTACGAATTATGATCATTGCACCAAATATAGTTCTGAAAACCTACAGCATAACAGCAAAAAGGTGTAAATTTGAAAATATGAGCATTCCTCTTCAATGATATTTACCAGAAAACACACAAGCACCGTCCAAATTTCTTTATCTATACTAAAGGGTAGATCATAAGTGTCAAGTAAAACCATCAGGACCTGTAGCTAGCTTACAAGAGATCCAATAAATACCATGTCTGTACCGCAAGTATCTTCTCAAAATTTAATAGGAGAATACTAACCTGAACTTAAAAGATTTAAGAGAAGAACTGTAACCTGAACTTTAAAGATTTAAAGGTATAAGATAAGATACAAATCCCGAGAAGCAAAAAATTAATTTGCAGTGATTGGTGGGGTAGTGGTTCAACTACTATGAGCTAAAGCCATATTGGTTTATATTTCCCTGTGTTATGCCACAAACATGTCTCTAAAAGGAAACCCTATACCCATTTAGCCACTACAATGACCATTTTGGATGAACAATGTAAGATTATTAGCTAAGAAAACCTCCCCAAGTCAAAAAAAAAGCATTACAAAATATTAAATATTATTCGTGATAACCATTTGAAATATACATCTTACATCAATGCATCTAACCATATTCATCACAAACTCACATTTAATGTATGAAGCAAAAAACAAGATAATAGATAAAAAAGGTCTAAATGTAACATACATCAATATCGTCATCACTGAACTGAAGCAGCTCCTGGTCATGCTCTTTCAAAAACTCATAAAAGTCTGGATCCTGAAACAGAAAAGGTTATTGATAATGTTGCCATCAGAATGTTGCCATCAGAATGTAGCCAAATAAATATATAAAAGACAATTCCCTAAACCCTAAACCCTAAACCCTAAACCCTAAACCCTAAACCCTCTTTCAAAAAACTCCTAAAAGTCTGGATCCTGAAATGGAAAAGGTTATTGATAACATAACCAACAAAATGTAGCTTAAAAATATATAAAAGATAATTCCCTTTCGACCACCAACTAGTTCAAACTTCACACATACAAGCATTTGCAGAAACGAATTACATAATCAAAATTGAAAACCTACACTTAAGAACATGCAATTTGTCTAATTTCTAAAATTAAATTATACAAATGTAGACCTAGAAAAAAATACTGCTTGAAAGTTGAAACTAAAAAACTTATACTTAGATATTAAATTAAAGAGAACCCTTGAAAGCAAAGCTACATACAAATTACTAGCATGAACTGAGAAACAACAATGGCGAGGGTTTAACCTTTTGCTGAAGACTTTCAAGTTGCCCCTTATGTTCTTTTGCTCCGCTTCCAGTCATGGATTTTTTTCTGCTCCTTCTTCTTACATTACTCTCTTCATCCATGTTCCTCTCTAAAATAATCAAATAAATTACCAATGAAAATCAACAATTGAGACGCATTCAAAACCTATATTGAAATGAAATAATCAAAGAACCTGTATCATTTTCTGCGTCCATGGCTCTCTTGAAACCTAAGTTATAGGCAAATTCTGGTAGGTTAAGCGATGAAGAGTTTCAGGGCTTTCGGCGGCGGGACTGAGGGGGGGAGAAAGAGCTTCGGGGCTGTCTTACGGTATTTGTATTTTGCTATTTTTTTAAGAAACGAAAACCGAACCGGATTCCGGTCCGATTACTCTAAAAAAAAATCAGATAAACAGTACAAATTGGATAATCGGTGAACCGAAAACGGTTTAGGTAAACCAGGCGGTCTAGAAAATAATTTAAATTTTTTTTTTCACTTGAGATCAAGTATGATTTATATATCCATTAATACAACATACTACTACCTTAAATTACCTTTTGTGTTAATAAAATTTACACTAGGTTATGATTTATTAGTAATTAGATAATGGGTCAATTGTATTAAAAAATAATTCATAGTTATAATTATTTTATCAAATTATCCATATAGCTAACGAATCATTATCAACACAATATCTATCTTAGGGTTAATATATGTTTTGCTTCCTGCCATTTGGGGTGAATTCGAAAAAAGATTCAGTAAAAAAATACAGATTTCGTTCCTGCCATTTTGAGATTCTCCTCTTTTAGACCTTAAGTGGATCTGATCAACTAAAACGTTGATGTGGTAATGACAGCGTGGCTTTTTTTCATTGTTCACTTAAGTGACGACCTATGTGGAATTTAAACACTCAATAATAATGTTAATTAAGTTTTTTCAATATTAATATAACAAATATATTTGTTAGAAGGTGTCAAATGAAGTTTCATTTACCCCCTTTACTCATTGTTAGGTTTACAAGGTACGTTTCTATTTTGTAATCAGTTAATCATCGTTAATTGAGGTTAATCATCACCGATTGTTGATATTAGAATGTCCATTTTAGGTATGGTATTGTTCAACTTAATCCTTCACCATGATGGATAGTTTGTTCGTGAAAGCTTTATTTTCTACAGAGGAGAAGTTGAACTGTGGTTAGTGGCCAGGACACAGACACATGGTCGTATTTTGAAGCCTTGAGCTTAGTAAGGGAGTATGGTTTTTATGGTAGTGGTGTCCGAATGTGGAGAAAGATTGAAGGGATTGATGAAGGTTTCTTCCACCTGACTGATGATTCACACGTTACAGAAATTGCCAAGCATTTTATCCCTCACAATGTTGATCGACATATATGGGTGGAGCACAATGTTATAGATAATTCAAAGAGAGTCATCACTCCAAATTATGCAGATGTTGGTGAAGATATTTAGCATAGCAGTGATGATGATTCTTTAGGGATCAGATTTGAAGATAGTGAGGAAGAAAGAGTTAATGAGGAAAATGAAGGCTTTGTGGTTGTGAAGGTTGATAACCCACAACAAGGCAATAGGGTTGAAATCAATGGTAGAAAATATATGTACAAATTAAAAACTAACAAGGATTCATCAACTGTAAGGTCTCCCAAAAAAATCAAGTTGGTAGTTCCTTTAATGGTCATGCGTTGGAATCCAAGTTCATCAAAGGGTTTAGCACAAAATGGAGCTTATGAAAGTAAGGAGTTGGGTAGCTCAGACCCAGATGATAGTGATAATGAAAGGATGCCCAAATATGAGAAGTTTAGAAGGGATTTGCTCAACAAAAACTTTGAGTTCAAACTAGGTATGGAGTTTAACTCTCTTGTTGAATTTAAGGATGCCATAAGAGAATGGTCTGTTTTAAATGGTAGAGAGATTAGGTTTGTAAAAAATGAAAGTTGTAGGGCAAGGGTGGAGTGTAAGGGTAAATGTGGTTTTTTGGCACTTTGTAGTATAGTGGGTGACAAACACACTTTTCAAATAAAGACTTGGGTAGGGTCACATACTTCTGCTAGGGTTTTGGGTAACAAGTCAGTCAACTCAAAGTGGTGTCCAAGATTGCAGTTGAAAAGAGGCAGTCAAGTGACAAAGTCAAAGTCTCAGATCCAATGGCTGATCTTAGGACCAAATACTCAGTTGGGATTACCAAAGGAAGAGCATGTAGGGCTAAGCACATAGCTGAGGAAATTATTGAAGGTAACTCAACTAAGAAATATTCATTATTGTGGAGTTATATTGCAGAACTTAGGAAGCAAAATATTGGGAATACAGTGAAAATTAATGTTGAGAGACCAATTCTAATAATACCACCAAGGTTTAGTAGTTTCTACTTCTGTTTTGGTGGGTGCAAATAAATGGTTTCTTAATGGTAGTGTGGATGGGTGTCACTTGAAAACAAAGCATGGTGGCCAATTACTTATTGTTCTGGCTAGGGATCCTAATGACCAGCATTTTCCTTTAGCATTTGATGTTGTGGAAACAGAGACAAAGGAAAGATGGATATGGTTCTTACAACTGCCTATGGAAGATATTGGGCAACACATGAGATATGTATTCATATCAGACCAACAAAAGGTATGAATAAAGTTTAGTAGTTCCATATTTATAATTTTTGGAGAGATGTTTATAGTTTCATATTCATATCATACCAACAATTTGTATTTCATATTTACAGGGTCTTGTAGTTGTGTTTGAAGAGATGTTTGAGTTCATTAAGCATAGAATATGTTTAAGACACTTGTATGCCAATTTGAAAAAAACTAATTGGTGAAGGCAGTGCAATTAGGGATCTCATGATGGGAGATGCAAAAGTAACCTACTATCAAGCTTGGGAGAAGAAGATGTTTGAGCTAAGGCAGTTGGATAAGAAGTCTTGGGAATGGCTAATGGGTGTTCCAACAAAATTATGGTGTAAACATGCTTTTAGTTTCTATCTAAAGTGTGATGTTCTGATGAATGACATTAGTGAGTCTTTCAATAGTACTATATTGCAGGCTAGAGATAAACCAATTATCACTATGTGTGAATGGAATAGAAATTATCTTATGAATAGGAGAGTTGTAAACTTAACCAAATTAGACAAGTGGAAACATAAGATAATGCCTATGCATAGGAAACAATTAGACAATGAGGTGCTGATGAGTGGCCAGTGGGTTCCTACATGGAGCATTAGCATGGTATGACAGGTAAACCATATATTTGATGGTCATCAATTCATTGTTGATATTAGTAAAAAAAACATGCACATGCTATTTTTGGGAACTTATGGGCATTCCATGTAGACATGCCACAACTGCTATGAGTTATCGGAAGTTGGATCCAGAACATTATATAGATGACTGCTATAGTAAGGAAACATATAGTAAGTGTTATTCGTACAATATGAGTCCTACTAATGGCATGGATATGTAGCCCAAGGTAGATGTTAAGGAGATGCTTCCACCATCATTTAAGAAAGGTCCAGGTAGACCTAGGAAACTTAGGTTTAAGGAACTTTATGAAAATGGTTCTAGAATGATAAGGCCTGGTGTTAGTTACAGGTGCACTAAGTGTGACAAGATTGGTCATAACTCAAGAAAATGTCAGAGTACAGAACAAAACCATGTTGCATTAAAGAGAAAGGTTTTATTTTTTTTGTTTGTCTTTTGGTTCATGTTTGTCAAGTACTGCATAACTTATGATGTTTGTGTTTTGGTGTCTTAGAGAAAAACACCTAGGAAAAGTGAAAAAATGGATAAGCATACAGTGGATGAGCCTTCAGTGTACTATTTTCATGGTGAATTTGATGCATCAATTAAAGCAATTGTGGCCTCAGTTGAGGCTGAATACCAATCCTTTCAGATTGTGAATCCAACCCCTAACACTACTGAAGTTGTTACTACTACAAAGTCTTCAAAAATGAAACAAAGGGTGGCCTACAAGAAGAAATTTGTGTCTATAAAAAAGAAGAAATTTGCTTAATGTTTGTATTTGAATCTTATTTTGATGTTTGTAAGGCATATAATGTGCTTAGGTTGAGCCTTATTTTGATATTTGTAATGCACATAATGTGCTTAGGTTGAACCTTATTTTGATGTTTGTAATGCACATAATGTGATTAGGTTCAACCTTATTTTCAAGTTTGTAATGCTACTTGTGTGCTTAGGTTGATGTTAATGCAGACTCATATTGATGCATGACTGGTATTATAATTGTTTTTGGGAATCTTATTAATGCAGAGTTGCAGACTGATATTAAGTGTTATACACCTTGATTATTTCCAAATATGATGTTAATGTAGACTGAAATTACAAATCTATTTAGAAGACTGATATTGAGTATTTTGGAATTGTTATTGAACCAACTAATGTTGAACTAACATATTGCATACAAGATAATGAACCAACTGATATTGAAGTAACTAATATTGAACCAACAGATATTGAATTAACAGACTACAGACTGGTATTGAACCAAACACATATTTTTCATTTCATTCAAGAGTCATAAATTACAAGGGATCTCATTGATCTCATTACAAGGGAACCAAACATTTCATTCAAACTATTAAACAAACAAATATTGCAAGTTGGTATTTAACCAAACACTCTACCTATTACAAAACATGACAAAACATTATACTTACTTACATTCTACCTATTACAAAACATAACCAAGATGCAATAAGAATGTAAGTGAGTGTTTGAATGGTCTTGTGATCTTTTACAGCTTTCAGCTTTAGTTTCTCGATCTTCTTGTTCTTAAATGCCTTCCTAAACTCATGACCAAACTCTTTCTCAAACTCAAATTCATATTTCCTCATATCCACTTTCATGTTTTCACATTCAGAGCAACCTCCATCGTATCTTAGCTCAGCTTGTTTTCCTTGAAATAGTTCAGCATCCCAATGAAATAGATGACAATCATCAACGTTTTGGAAAAACAAGAGAAGAGATGGAACTCAACAAACAACTGAACACATAAATAAATATGAAGAAAGGATATCAATAAAATTTAACAAACCCCCCAAAATCTGCACTTCAGTATCTTCTTTCTAGGTTTGAGCTTGATTTAGAAACGTGGATTCTCATGGGAAGCTCGTGCCCATAAACCAGTGTTTTTCTCCCACTGGACATGTAGCATGAACTCGTGCTTCGAATCATAGTCTCAGATTAATTGAGATACGAACTGAATTCACGAAAAAGGAAAGTTTTGAACCCTAGCTGCAAACAAGAAATAGGAAAGGAAGAAGATGATTTATCCCAATTAATTTTACATTGTTAGTTTTATTAAGTTTTAATAATTTGTAAATGGAATTAATCTATTAAACAATGCCACGATGTTGATTATTATTAAGTGTTTAAATTCCACGTAGGCTATCACTTAAGTGAACAATGAAAAAAAAAGCCACAATGTCGTTACCACATCAACATTTTAGTTGACCAGATCCACTTAAAGTCTAAAAGAGGAGAATCTCAAAATGGCAGGGACAAAATCTGTGTTTTTTTACAGTACTTTTTCGAATTCGCCCCAAATGGCAAGGGGGAAAACGTATATTAATCCTCTATTTTATTTTTAATTAATAATTGCTAAAATTCTTATTTTTAAATGTCAAAATTTTGTTCTTTCCCAATTTTAAGAATTCTTTTTTTTTTGTATGGTTATTTAATACAATTGAGTTTATACGATCATTGTTTATTTTACAACTAAGTAATTCATTTTAAATTTATGTGTATCTAATTATATTTTATACATTATCAAATTGAATAATACTCAATAACAGTGTAGTAGACCACTGACTTTTTATCACACGAGTCACTATCAGGACAAAATATATTTTATTTTAATTAACAATTACTTTACTTGAGAGATAAAATATTTATTTCTAAATTTCAAAAAAAATTCATTCTCCATCTCACGAGTTTCTTTTTTATTTTTGTACGTTCATTTAACAATAGATTTTATATGATCATTATCTGTTTTACAATTAAGTAACTCAATTCAAGTTTACATGTATAACTAAATATATTTTATACTCTATTAAATTAAATGATACTCCATAGTCATACATCTAACTTTTCAGTCAACAGTGACTATCAGCACAATATCTATATTATTTTTAATCAACATTAATTGAGTTTATAGAATTCTTGTTCATTTTACAATTAAGTAACTTATTTCAAATTTACATGTGTATCTATATACATTTTAGATTATATCAAATTGGATAATTCTTAATATTTCTGTAAACAACTAATTTTCCATCTCCCAAGTCACTATCAGCACAATACTCATTTAATCTAATTGACTGTATATGACCATTGTATATTTTACAGTCAAGTAACTCATTTTAATCAACATTAATTGAGTTTATAGAATCATTGTTCATTTTACAATTAAGTAACTTATTTCAAATTTACATGTGTATCTATATACATTTATATTATATCAAATTGGATAATTCTTAATATTTCTATAAATAACTAATTTTCCATCTCACAAGTCACTATCAGCACAATGCTCATTTAATCTAATTGAGTGTATATGACCATTGTATATTTTACAGTAAAGTAACTCATTTCAAATTTACATGTATATCTAAATATATAATTTATATTATATCAAATATATTTACCCGTGCGGACGTACACGTATTTTGCTAATTCAAAATTGTAAAAAGAATAAAAGAGTATAAGATTTATGCATCAACTATATACCTATTATCAATACATGTCACTATGTTCAATAATATACCATTTACTATTACAATTAATTACAAATTAAATAGGGTATTTCAATTACAAATGTCCCAATTTATCACTTTTCCAATCAGTCATGCATAGACACGTGTAACTAAAACCCTCTCCTCACTTGAAGTACTTGTTTTCCCTCCTTTACTATATTCAATTTTGCTTATCTCTTTCCATCACTCCTTCAATTTCATTCACTCATCATCATCACTTACAACAACGAAATCAAGTTTCATATATGTAATACTCCAAATTTTAAATAGAGTATTTTATTTAATTATTCGTGTGATTTATTCTTTATATTTGAATTTTACTGCTTTTCAGAGTGTAAGGGGAATTATCTACTTATGGGTGAACTAGGCATGCAGTATAGTGAGGGTTCCTTGCCCTCATATCAGCACCTTGTGTTAATATGTTTTCTCCTTAATTTTCCCTTTTGCTTATGATTTTTATGAATTAACCAAATAAGCTTTGAGTAAAACCTTATTGGTGTGGTTGTTGAGAATGTTTTATATGTGATTGCTCTGAGACCTTAAGAGGGGATTTGGGATAAATTCCCTAAGGTCTCTATAAGCTATTGTTTGTATGTTATAACTTTGTGCCAATGATGATTTGATTGTATGAATTACTTTGATTTTTGGGTCGATTATTGTTGTAGGGTTGTGATTTTTCCTCGAAAAGCCGAACAACTCTGTTTGGGTCATTTGGTTTCCCAAATGCGTGATGTTGAAAACCTGTTTTGTTTCCTAATTTATTTTCCTGAATCGGTCGATTTTCTGGAATTTTCCCGAATACTAAAAAACCTTAATTTTAGTATTTTTTATGAAAAATCAGGTTTTTTTTACCGAAACTTAACATTAAGAACTTTTGAAAAATTGAAACTTTTGAAAAAATAAATAAAAGTTTGTTCAATATGGAGAAAAACGCAGAATCACATGTAGACAAAAAAGGGGATTGACCGTCTTATTTCAGACATATCTTGATTTTTGTAAGTCCTTTTAGGATGTCATCAGTTGCGTTGGAAAGCTAACGCGGTAATATTTATTTCGAGGTAAAGAAATTGGGTCTAGGGGTGCTACTAAAGTAGCAGTTCACTAGTTTTTATACTAGAGGTGTAGTCAATTTTAGTCATGCGTTAGTCATCATGTTTTAGGCATAACTTGAGTTTCATAAGTCCTTTCAGGGTTTCACATAGTCGTATTAGAGTAGGTCGGTTTGTTCAGCCAGGTTTTATGATTTTTTATTTGTTTCTAGTATGTGTGTAACACCCCAAAGTTTGCTCATCCTTTTTCTTATATCTTGCCTTATGTTTCATATGTTTTGCATTGGCATTAGTGCATAACATTGGTTCTATACAGGGGATCAAAGTATTTAGTTAACACTCAAAGGAAAAGCTTCATCTTCAAAAGCTCAATTAAGGGTTATTGCTCAATTTTGTGGAAATCTCAAGTCAT